TGCACAGAAGTCGGTATTTTGTGGAAGAGCCGCACTCAAGGGGCCAAAGAGCCGCATGTGGCTCACAAGCCGCAGTTTGCCGACCACTGCCCTAGACTGACTGGAGATATCATGGGCTCACGCCCAGCCTGCTGAGAGGGCTGAGAACCGTCACACAGGGCCTCCATGATATTACCTTTGACAGGAGGGAGACCTACAGATCAGAGAAGCTGAAGCATTTGCCCAAACTGAGCAGGTAGTAAGAGGTACCGCTACACTTGAACCTAGCCTCTCATGCCTCCAGGAATACCATTAAGCGTGGCTCGCGAGCCGCAGTTTGGCGACCACTGCCCTAGGCTGACTGGAGATATCATAGACTCACGCCCAGCCTGCTGAGAGGGCTGAGAGCAGTCACACAGGGCCTCCATGATGTTATCTTTGACAGGAGGGAGACCGACAGATCAGAGAAGCCGAAGCATTTGCCCAAACTGAGCAGGCAGTAGGAGGCACAGCTACACTTGAACCTAGCCTCTCATGCCTCCAAGAATACCATTAAATCACTGACAAGCAAGGCTGTGCGAGCCCATTGGTGTCTGGGGATCCCAAGCACCCCAGGGTCTTATAAAAAAACGTTTGAGTCCTGACTGGTGTGGTTCAGTTGGTTGAGCATCGTCCTGTGCACTGAAAGGTCACTGGTTCAATTCCTGGTCAAGGCACATACCCAGCTTTCTGGTTCAATCCCAGTCGTGTTTCTCTCTCAATCCCTACCCTTCCTCTCTTTCTAAAATCAATAAAGACATATTTTTAAAAAACACAAACATTTAAGAACCCAAGATACGTACACACGTTGGCTCCAGAATGCAAAAGGAGAACAATGTCCAGGTGAATCCATGTTTAATTACATTCAGGAGCAGGTTGTCAGCTTTGGTGGGATTAACATCATTGCCAGACATCTACTCAAAAGAGTTACCTGTGGCCAGTTGATTTCTAAAACAAAATTATAAATTACAAGAATACCTAACTGGTGAGCAGTTAGTGTTAGGGGCAGAAATAGAATTGTGGGGACTAGCCATAATTATAAGAAACTAGAGGCCCAGTGCACGAATTTGTGCATGGGTGGGATAGTGCCTTACACATGTCCAGCAAATATTAATAACTAGAGGCCCGGTGCATGAATTCATACATGGGTGGGGTCTGGCCAGCCTGTCCTGATTGGGGCCCATTGATCAGGGGCCAGGCCAGCCAGAAGGAGGGGACATAGGAGGTTGGCCAGCCAGCCCTGCCCCCAATCATGCAGGGGGGGGTGACCGAGGGCAGGTTGGCTGGGGGAGGGGCCGCAGGTGGTTGGGGGTGCCAACCCATTGATTGGGCCTGATTGGGCTGGTTGGCCGCCACAGTGCACATCATAGGGACCGGTTGTTCAGGTCGTTTGGCTTTTATATATATAGATATTAATCATGCTCTGTTAACCATGATTTCTGTTCTGATTAGAGGAAGCACATTCTAACCTGGCTGAGAGTTGTATGCCCCAGGACATGGGAGTTAACACCGGAATGCAGTCCATCCTCCTTTTCTGAGAACTGACTGTACAATCTGGTCCCAGAGGTCCCTGCTTTTTGCACCCACCCTCCCCCACCAAGCTCACATTGCCTGTAACCTATAACCGTTATACCTCGCCTACTTCCCCGTGCCTGTAATTCCTGCCTTCCCATGTAATCTTTTGTCCTTCTACCCAGTACAGGCAGCTGGTTTATGGGGAGGAGTAGAGCAGATTTTTGTGGGTGACCTGCTGCTCTCGCATACTGTGGCACTATTGGAATAAATGCTCGAATATGAGTCAACGCTGTCTCTGCTTAATTGGCTCAAGTTGTGACAGGCAGCCCGGGTCCAGTGGTTGTCTGGTTTCATTAGCACCTACAGGGGCTGGTTCATGCTCAGCTGCTTTTAATTCGGGGAAACCCCACAGCAACCCTAAGTGGAGGCTGTTCAAGCGAAGGAGAAACTGAGGCACTGGGAGATCGCACAGCTAACGCTGTCTCTGCTTAATTGGCTCAAGTTGTGCCAGGCAGCCCGGGCCCAGCGGTTGTCTGGTTTCATTAGCACCTACAGGGGCTGGTTCATGCTCAGCCTGCTTTTAATTCGGGTAAACCCCACAGCAACCCTAAGTGGAGGCTGTTCACGCAAAGGAGAAACTGAGGCACTGGAGATCGCACAGCTGGAGAGAGACCGCAGCTCGGGTTTGAACCCCTGTGTAGTCCTTAACCTTGTGTTTTACAGCCGGGACATCAGTGCGATGGGAGATGCGGGTACAGTGGTGACTTCTGGCTGGCTTTTCCGGTTTGGATGTCGGGAATTGGCACTCCCTAAGGCAGTGATGGCGAACCTTTTGAGCTCGGCGTGTCAGCGTTTTGAAAAACCCTAACTTAACTCTGGTGCCGTGTCACATAATAGAAATTTTCTGATATTTGCAACCATAGTAAAACAAAGACATATTTTTGGTATTTATTTTATATATTTAAATGCCATTTAACAAAGAAAAATCAACCAAAAAAATGAGTTCGCGTGTCACCTCTGACAGGCGTGTCATAGGTTCGCCATCACTGCCCTGAGGGTACAAATCTGGAGGGTGGGAAGCCGGGTTGGGTCGGGATCCATCTGGTCTCATCCAATCTCCACCCCAGGCAGGTCATCTAAAGCTCAGGACCCAGGAAGGGATGCAACTCCGCCTCTGACCACGCCCCCGTGACCGCCTCTGATTGGACCATCTGGCGGCCAATGAGAGGGCGCCTATCGAAAGCTCCGCCCCCAAGGGCCTTCTCGCGCGGTGGTTGCGCCCTCCCCCTCGCCCCCCACCTTTCTCGCGTCCCTCTCCGGACTAGGCCTCCCTCGGTCTTTAGCTGCCCGGATCCACCTCTCCAGCTGGCCTTTGCACGCGCCATGCCCACTGCCAGAAACACGCCTTCCTCTGTCTTCTGGACAAAGCTGCTTTCTCTCCTGCTTTCAGCTGAAATGGCCCCTCCTCTGCCCTGGCCGGGTGCTCAGTTGGTTAGATGGGTTCCCAGTACGCCAAGGCTGCGGGTTCATCTCCTGCCGGGGACATACAAGAATCAAACAACGAATGCACAAATAATTAGAACAACAAGTCGATGTTTCTTTCTCCCGCTCTCAAAAAAATTTTTTGATTACATCTTTGTTTTGAAAGTATTACATATGTCCCCTTTCCCCCCATTAACCCTTTCTAGCCCGACCCCCCCATGATTCTGAAAATGTAAGAAAGAAAAAAATGTAGCAAACAGTCCCACTACCCTACTTCCCTCACTGTACCATGCTATGTCCATCACCACGCTAAGATAATGTCATCCATCTGGTTAGTATTATTATTGTTATTTTAGTGTTGAAATCCTCCTTGGCCCATTCATGCATCCCACCCAGTAACCATAATGGAAATCCAAACACTTACCGTGAATTTCTCATAGAGCTCATACGTCAGGAGGGGGTTGGGGAGCTCCCTGAAGC